CTGTACCTCCACTGGAGTCCTGCATCTCCATGTGCACTAGGTCAGGGTCCACGTCCACATCAGCTACGGACCTGGTTCACAAACAGAAATGCAATCGTCCATTAAATTAGTTACTCCCAAACAAACCCAACCCATGGATATATAACATAACAAAACAATAATATAACATATATATATATATATATATAGGTATATGACATGCTATATATCCATACATAAAATATAGGTACAACTTTGTAGTTGTTAGTTCGGAGCATAATGTCATAGCTTAATTATGCTATTGTTGGGGTAGTAAAAGTAAATGTACATATTTACTGTAGCTGTATGGCGCGATACAATGCTTTAATCTCAGTAATTGACATTAAAACTTTTTATTTTGTTTTATTTTAACAATTGTGCATGATGTGGCGCTTTGGCCCAGAGGCAATGTCTCTGTCATTGATGTGGAACCTCAGGGTTCACCTCCTGGGCAAGTTCGAATCCCAGTTAGGGTGGTTGGTACCTTCCAGTGGACTCACCACCTGCAGGAAGGTTCAGGGGGGTTGGTACGGTGCAGTGTGATTTGGGTGGTGGTCATAGAGACTGCTGCCCCCACGAGCCAGTAATGGATAAGCGGATGAAAATGGATGGATGGATGGAATTCTGCATGATCTACCAGCACACCCTGATATATCGTGATCCACTGATTGGGCACCTCAGCTTTAAACCTACACCAACGGCAAATTATTTGGTAATCCTGGGCATATTTTAACATTTAACATTTTATATATGCAAGCTGTTCACGGATTACTCCTAAGTCCAATACCTAAATCAAGTGACTTAGCATTAAAGGCACCTTTTTTTTTTTTTTTTACCCCAGAGACGTAAAAAAAAATAAAAACAAGTAAGTCGCAGGGCTGGATTAAAATGCACAGCAATTGAACCTGAGTGCACACTTTATGTACTGTAGCCTTTAACCCTGTTTGATATAAATACCTCAGTGAATATGCACAGCTCAGCTTCCGCCCCCCCCTTTAAAGTGCACTCTGATGTACTGCATCTGGCCGCTTGTGCAGCCTTGCGTGCTTAAAACTCTTAAAAACATTTTTTATAACCCTGTCCTGTTTTAGAAGTACGCGGGCATACACTCCGGCTCTCCTACACCCTCTGTGTACGTCCTTCACTGAGTAGTAAACTAAGAAGTTCATCTGATTAGGGCTGTGTAGTGCAGTTGGTGAAGCTTCCATGGCCCGGTAAAGATAGAGTGGAAATTTAAAACCTCATTACTTTGCCTATAAAACGACTTTACGAGCAATTAGCGAGTCATGGAGGGACAAGGGGAACAAAGCAAGAGAGTAGCTGTATCCTAAGAACAGCTAAGGGATCTCCAGCTGAGGGCGGGAGTGTGACTCCGACCGGACATCTCTACGATACGATGAGTTCGTTTCTGGGTCTGTGACCTTTACGTATTCTAATCAATACTCATGAGCGTTTCTGGTTTTCTCCTCCATAAACCTGTCAGGAAATCGAAGTTCGACAGGTTATGGTTTCCATGAGCGGCCATCACCATGGGATTCCCTTTGTATGGTGATTTTATAGTTTTCCTCTCACGGCTGCTGATGACAGGTGGACAAGAAACACTTTATACAAGGGCTTCCATTCAATAGTGAGCGTCCTTTGGCAATTTGTCAGCTAAGTAAAACCAATGGTGATTACTGTCGACAATGCAGTGGTCCTTAAATTCGTAGGGTGAGAAATATTGCCCATTGCTTATCTCAGGGGTGTCCACACTTTTTTGGCTTTTCAAATGACCAGTGATCTATTTACTCGTAAAAAATCTTTTATATACATTATATGTTGGAGTACTTTGATTGAATGGCTGTAGTTGTATGGCACAGTACAGTCGGACTCAATAGTTATATGAATTATAAGCATCTTAAAACAGAATTAAATTCATTTTTAATAATATGTAATTGCTCAGGATCTACAAGCACTTCCTTTGAGATCTACTGGTAGATCCCAATCTACTTATTGGGCACCGCTGGCTTATTTTTAAGTGCTTATAACAGGGGTCACCAATGTGGTGCTGGGGGCACCTGGTAGCCCTGAAGGACTATCTAAGGTGCCCGCGGGGTATGTTCTAGTAATAAAACTAGTCAACCAATTTAAAAACAAAAGTACTGCTGCTGTGCTTTTTCATTCAGTTACACTTCCAATGATATTCAAATGGGTGCAATGACAATGGTAAGAAGAGTGTCTACTATTGTATGTTTGAACTCATTATTATTACATTATTGTGGAGGTCTGAATCAAACAGATAGCTCTTTGAATTACTAAGCAAAAAGTTTCAAAAATGTTGGAGACCCCTGGCTTATATATATTAAACTTACGGGATGCTACTGTTCTAGAAACTGATACAACTATGAGTATTTTCATTTGTGTACTCACAGATGCCAACAATACTGATACTCTTTATACTGGGTTTCAATAAATAGGCAACAAGCTTACAGGAAGCGTTACATACTTCAGGTTGCTATAAGGTTGAGGAGCAAGCTCAAGCAGGAAAAAGGCTACAGACTGTTTTATTTTTTTGTTATCAACAGAAGACATTTTCAACCCAAATTAAAAACGAATGAAGTGTCGCTTTGGCTCAGAAGCAATGTCTCTGTCATTGGTGTGGAACCCCAGGGTTCACCTCCTGGGCAAGATCGAATACCAGTTAGGGCGGTTGGTACCTTCCAGTGGACTCACCACCTGCAGGAAGGTTCAGGTATGGCGCAGTGTGATTTGAAAATATGAAAATAATATTTAAAAAGCCAAGATTCTAAAAGAGAACTTACGTAGTTATCAAACCAAGTTAAACGCAGAGCTTTTATACCGAGAGCGATTTCATTTGAAAAATATATATTTAAACAAACACACCCACACAAAAAAGCTTTTTGTTCTTAATATTATATGATAGTTTGTAACTCCGAAAACTGAACTAATTTTTACCCCAAGTTTGATCTTGAAACAAGTAAATATATGTTTAAATATTACTCATCTTGCCGACAGGTTACACAGTGGTTGGATGTTTCAATGCTTATGACAGTCAGCGTCCATGATTGATCAAGTGACCTTGACTGATGCTTTGAACCTCAACCTTTTCACGCAGGTTACATCAGACAAAAGAGTCCTCTGTACTGGAAATGCAAATGCCCTTCAAGGTGAACGTCCTCTGCACTTCGGAAACAAATCATTTATTTATTTGACTGAGATTTTTGGTTAACTGCTAGCTTTATTTTATGACAACATAAGCGTTTGGGATTCCCTTCCTCGCCCGCGGGCAGTATAGAAAATGTAGACAAACCGAGTGGACGACAATTGAATGCTATACATGAGTGAGAGAAATAGGAAAAAGATGAAAAGAAATACAATTGTTTAAGTGAAAACTGAAGAAATATTGGATGAAACATCGCTCAGGGGCTGGAATTCAGTGGCATTCCATCTCGTGTGTCATTTCATTTTCATTACTCTTTTGTCCATGTGCCTTTCACAGCAATTCTTTTTTTTTTTTAATTTTCCTCCGTTCAGACATTTTCTTTCGTTGTCACTTGTCATCTTGTAAGATGCCAGTTGAATTTCAAAACTGCTGCTACTTTTTACTAAGACTGACAAACCAACAAACAACAACTTCTCAAGCCCCCGGGAGAGGGAAGGTATACTTTGCCAGACCACCCTGACGGCAGATTGGCTTTAATGTGATGTTTTTTCTGTGATTTATATTCACCTGCTGCCAGACTTCTGTTCTCCTGTTGCCTTTTATGACTGTTATGCCAAAGGCAGAGGCAATGGTCAAAGACACAACATGACTTATAGACTTGAATTCACTTGGACATGCATATTTTTAGCACACAAAAAAGCCTTCTACTGACACATCTTGGCATTTGTGGCATACTAAATTTTCTTTTGGTTAGAGAGCGCTAGTAAAAAAGTTAAGAGAAGGGTAGAAGGTGTCTTTATGGATATAGACAAAGCATACTGTATGAACCCGTCACCGGTCCGGGGACCGGTGCCAGTCAATAAGTCATTTTGTACCGGCTGCTGTGAGACACAGTGAAAAATGTACTTCAGTTTTACTAATTTACTTCATTCAAAAAGAAGCCAGTCATTACCCTTTACTTTGTTCATTAAATGATAATCTGAGAATATTTCAAAACAATAGGTAGTTGAGACCCTAATACTAACAGAATAAAGTCTAAAAGATGATGCAAAAAAGGCCAGGGACTGTTGTGATAGGATAACTATGGATGAACTATAGTAGGTGTAGGAGAAAGTGAGGAGTGGCAGAGAAGTACTGTATGTGTGGGTGGTGCTGTTGGAGTGACTGATGGATTCTGGTTAAACCAGGCCAACGTTGATATAACGGGATGTGGTTCATTATGAATACAGCAAATGATAAGTAAAATACTGGGGGTCTTGGTTTGCGATGTCCTTGACCTAGAGCCTTTAGTGGTTATGTCGCCAATTCCCAAATATTTTTTGAGAAAGTCTGGTTCTATCATTTCGACGTATGGCGTTAAAATAAATTTTGCATAAGAACTAGTTGGCAAGCAGATCAGACGAATAGATCACAACGCTATATGTGGAAGGTGGCTTTGTTTACATTCGACAGTTGTACTTTTCTCCCCTCCATTCTGGCTTCCAAGCATAAGTCAGACTCTTCCAGCTTCATTTACATTCACCAGTTGTACTTTTCTCCCTTCATTATGGCTTCCAAGCATAAGTCAGACTCTTCTGATGTTTTTACGTCCTTGGTCATGTTACCACTGTGTTCGTCTAGGTGAGTGACATCGGTACTTATGTACATTTTGCGAGTTCAGATATAAGGTGAAAATCGAGTTATGACGCACCGTCGGAATGTCATTCTGATGTAAGTTGAGGACCTCTGTATAATGTAATCCAAACTGTGGACATAGTCATAATGACTGAAAGTTACGTGACTGTGTAAAAATCGTCACTATTTCAACGATTTATGTTACGCAAATATTGGGTTTGTGCCTGCAGTTGGCCAAAAGGTTTAAGTAAGGAATGATAACAAGTACTTGAGAACAGATAAGAACATATAAGTTCATTGTTAACAAAGAAGTTATTATTTTTGCTGTCCCCCAATGCCTGCCTTGCAGCCGGAGAATGGACGTCAATGTCAAACATGTGACTGAAAACAGAACTTTAGATTAAAGAGTGAGGCATGTGTGATGCCATCGTTCCTTCGCAGCCCTTTCCTATTTTACAGCCCGGAGTTGGGATGATTTGTGTGTCACAGTTGGTGTTATAAATCACAGGTGTCTCGGCATGCGAATTAGCTCATTTACTATCAGCAGTGAGAGGAAACAAACCAGAAAGAGCCTGAAATGTCTCCCTGACCTTCAAAAGATTAGAAAGAAAGTGCAGCCGTCGGTGCTTAGATGCATCATACTTACTCCTATGCATATGAGACAGGGAGGTTGAGACAAAAGCAAGGTGACACGTACAAAAGCTCTGTCATTCAGCTCATTGTATAGACTTTCATACTTTAAAACCCGCAGGAATGAAAAGTAACTTTGTATTTTATTCCTATTTTTGACATTTGCTTCTGTTTTTGTATATTATAACTGACATTACATGACATTAAAAAGGTAGGTAGGTAGGTATATACGTACGGAAGATGCAACTCCAAAAAGACGTAGTATGCTAGAGTGGCTAATCATCACAAGAAATTAGAAATTGTGCTGTACCTTAACTTTGTTGTTTGTTCTTTCTCACTTCATGGATAAAGTTCGATTCAAAAATAATAAATGCTAACTAAACTAAAATCAGCCGCTAGATGACAGTATTTTACCTTTAATATACCCATTAAATTAAAACAAAATAAATTAAATGAAATACACCAAATTCTAACTAAATACAACAAATTATTTCTGTAAAAATAAACAATACCTCGTCATTCCCAACCTCTGCACTGGCAGTTTCACTCTAAAAACTAGTACTTATATACTGCAAATTTCTATTTATTCCTCTACGCCACGATGATAGCCAAAACAGTTTCTGAGCGGTTGAACACTGTCTTTGTGTCTCTCTTCAATTCCTGAGAATATGCAGCTGTTGTGTTTAACTAAACAGGCTCATATTTCACACTGAGTGAGTCAATTATGAGTTTGAACGAGGAGATCATTTTTCATTTCATGTACTTTTTGTGACTTTTTTTGGTAATGTGAAAAGTTTGATGAGGCTTAAAAAGTTGCAAAAACACTGCCTTATATTGAAGAGCACAGCAAAGCAGTTGGTGAGCTGACTCCATACTGACGGACATTTAAGCAACTAAAATTGTGCAAATGTAGCCTTGAGCTTCTTATCAAACTCAAACTTGTTTCGGACGTTTTTCATAAGTAATGGAAAATCTAGTGTTACCAACCAGAAAACTCTGTCCTTGGTCACATGCTCCTGAAGCAACGTCCACTTGCGGCCCAGGTCCGTGGAAGCAAAGACCTGAATTCGGGACAGAGAGAACAACAACTTTACATTGTGATTGTAAACACTGTCTGATTAACAATATTAGATCACAATTTGGTATAGACACTGGGGAGGTGCACAGGAAAAAGTAGTGGTTTTCATCAAAACAAAGTGAATCATAGCAGCACGCTCTAGCAATCAGGATACAACAACTTGAGCCAGCTAGCTCGAACTTTTACAAAATATAAATATATTTATAATATAATATTCAGTCTACCTTAAACAACTGTGAACTTTAAAGTTCTTGGTTTGTAGATTTCTCCTCCATTCCTTTTCCATGTAGCCATCTTTCAATAGTTTGTGATTAGAAAATTCTTCTACCGCTTTCAAAAAGTAGTGATGTCTTGCTCTTGGCCTTCGTGACAATTTCCCTTCTCTCCACAAGGCTCAGTTTAAGGCCATGTGCTGATTTCTGAATAAAATTCTATTGTGGACTACTTACACAGCTCTGCTCACCCCAGACTATTCACTTAAGTTAGAAAAATTCAAGACAATCCTGACTTTGACTGTTACATCAAGTTTGGACTACTACCCTAAGATTAAAACTTTTTTTTTTTAAAGAAAGCAAGCAGAATAAAGTTACAGGAAAATTGTTTTAAATACTAATTTGTAAACTCATTCAAGTCCTAACATTAATACGCACACTAGTTACCATCATTTTTATTCTGTTTTTTATTATAATCAGTTGTACTGCTAAATGCTTTGAATATTAAAAAAGATAATGAAAATTAAAAATTAAAAAGGGGATGACTGCCAAATAGACCTGCTAAAAAAATCAGCTATTTCAATTAATTTCAAATTTATTTTTTAATTAGTTTAATGTTTTATGACAAAAGATGAAAAAACAAAATGACTTTTAAAAAATAACACATTTTAATTACTTGGGTTTTTTGTTTCTTCTAAAGCACACCCTAAAATAGAGAAGGCAAATTTAGAACTATTTGTCACAGACTTTAGTATTAGTCATCAAATCTTTACTTTGTGTTTTCAGATATATTTTTTTTAATATGATGCATTCCAAACAGACACCCTAGTGCAGGGCTACCAAACATACAGAAATTATGTTTCATTAAATGTGAATGTATTCTAAAATACAGTGGAACCTCGAGATACGAGCAAGCCGTCGAGCAAATTTGTGCTTAGAGATACGAGTACAGATTGGAGATATGAGCACGCTTACTGACATCAACGCTAGGCGGCCGAGCACTGGGAGCAGCTCACGCCGCCTCACTCGTTCACGTTTGTCGACTTCCGTACACATCTACCACAAGTCTTCTGTATTGTGTTTGCGTTATCTACGTGATTTTCTCTCTATTTTGTGCATTATTCTTCATAACAGTGATGAGTTCTAAGTGAGTGAGTGGTAAGGATGGTGGTGAGAAGAAGAAACGCATGATGACCGTGGAAATAAAGCATGAAACTGTCGATAAATGAGGGTGGTGCCCACTGAAGAAAGAATACAAATAAAAAAAGCAAAAAAAATAAATAGAAAAGTAAAAGAAAAAAAAAGTAAGTTAAGTTTATTCTAGAAAAAATATGTAAGTTAAGTTTATTCTAAGTTTATAAGTTACATAGTTTACGTGTAAGGTACTATATAAGTTACGTAGTTTACGTGTAAGGTACGCTACGCAAACAGGTGTCTATGTACGGATCAACTCTCTTCCCTCCTCTCTCTTCCCCTCCTCCTGTCTCGAAGGTAAGAACTCATAATTAAAACCATATTTTATTTTATATCACAGGAATCCTTATATACTATAATTTTTTTTGTGTGAGTGTCTCTATAGACATTAAAAACATGTTTTTTTCCATTGTTATTTGCACTAATAAGGGAATTTTTTTTAGAAAAACTTATGGGAAAAAAATGATTTGAGATACAAACACCTCAAGTTACGAGCTCAGTCCTGGAACGGATTATGCTGGTATCTTGAGGTTCAACTGTACTTGTAGTTATTTGCAGAAAAACAAAAGGAGAAAACATTGACTTATTGTTATTTATAGGTAATTTTGTTATGATTGTGCTGGTCCGGCCCGCTTGACATCTACTGTGTAATGTAGCCCCTGAACCAAAATGAGTCCTCTAGCTCTCCTCTCTACTCTTTTAGCAACATTTTGTCATGCGTCAACAAGTTTCTCCGCTGCTCCAACACTCACCCTGCCCTCCTTGCAGTATGCAAGAAGCTTATCTTCTTCCTTGGGGTGGAAGATGAGTGTGACGGGAGTGAAGGCGATGGACTGTCTTTGGAAGGAGGATCCTTCGTCGGTGCTGATGAACAACATCTGGTCCCGCTCATTTATAGACGAGCCCACCAGCACAACCTGTAAGACCGACAGGAAGACAAGAAGGAAGGTCAGAGGTGAAATGGCCACAGGGCTAATGAGGTGGAATGTATTCGCAGTTCAGTCAGCTGTTGACGACACTCAACCTATTGTCCATCACACATGAATTCCTGTTGCTGATGAATATTACTGCATTGTCAATCTCACTATTGTGGGACAACCTATTGTCCATCACACACGAATTCCTGCATTGTCACTGCATTGTCAATCTCACTATTGTGGGATGAATAAAGGACTTCTTAGGGCCATTATCCAGGTCAGGAGAACTGTCTATCAATTATCCAAACATAGTTAGATCGAGGGCAACTGGACGGAGTAGGTTTTTTTGAAGACTCCTCACCTCTCATCCAAGAGGTTTCTTCAGTTTCACCTCCAAGAGGCTTCTTCAGTTCTATCGATTATCTATTCAGATTTTGCATTGGTCATAACGTATGGCATTAGACTAGGTACAAAGCAGGGGACATGCCATGCCACCAATTAAGTTTATGTCTTGGACAGTCAGAGGTGATAGCTCTAATAAGGGTGATCGATAGGAACTAATGAACCAGTCACATTCATTAGGAGTTCATGAGAGGTGGGAATTTGTTCAATCAGGGTTATTAGCTGGAGGTGTTGTTCATCATCATTAGTCTGCTGTTTGCAGTAGCTACTGTTTTGTACTGAACATTTTTTCTATATAGCAGAGAAACCTGTAAGAACGCAAAGTTACTGTTTTTTTTTTTTGTTTGTTTTTAATCATGCAGTTGCCAAGGTTGCTATAATAATAGTTGCGTCTCAGTGGAGACATACTGTAAGGTTTAGAAAAAGAAAGAGTTGCTTGTGCAGGTATTTTAAAGCCATTAATGTTGCTGTGCAATCACAGAAAAGGGGAGGTAGAAGGCACTCAGAATAAGAATTAGAACAAGAAATATCCAAGACCCCGTCCCCTAAGTGTAAACAGGCACCGTTTGTGCACTTTTGTCCTATGGGGAGGACAAACTTCATGTGCTTCAGGAATAAAACAAATGAATCTCCTCTATTTGGTCCAAAGTTCATACTCAATAAGAAACACAGGCCACCAGGGAACCAGACCAAATACTGAGATAAGGTTGTTTTCATCTTTTTTAAGTTATTATTATTTTGGAGTTAGGATCTTATTTTAGGACGTTTATTCACGTCTTTGACTGAATCTGCGATATAAGGTTTAAATACTTCCTGGTCTATTTTATATAAAATACTACAGCTTAACCACTATGCAATTTGCTGTTTCATGCGTCAACTAAATAGAACTGACACTGACAAAAATATCTAATTGATTTTAATCTCAAAAATGTGTATTCCAATATTGTTTTCCATGATTGGCAAAAGCTTTTGAATAATTTTTTTCAGTTGGTTAACTATGATTTTATGCTCCGAGCCAAGGGACAGAGATACATTTGTAAAACATTTCTAAACAACATTTGTTATTAAAAAACAATATCTTATCCAATCTAATCATGCTCGGCAAAGTTAATATTTCTACTTACAACATGTTAAACCAATCTCTGTTCTGTTATAGTCCATGTCATACTATCAATAAAGCATAATCAGTTACGCAGTAATGTTGCCTGCCACCAAGTGTCACTATTGTGCCAATTCTAACACAATAAGTGTTCTTGTACTACACGTCTCCTGTAGTACAAAAAGTCAAAAGACTTTCATCAAAAGACTTTAAAACGCTACAATTGCATCAGTTTCCCCCGTGAACAATAATAATAATACTCGATGCACGTAGCTGTTATTTTGCACTGCAGATAAAAGATGGCTCCTCAACTTCCTGTGTCTGCTCTGGAGACTGACACGATGCGACACTTTGAAGAGAAATCCAGACACAAAAACCTAGTCAGTTTTAATCCATGAAAGGCTTTGACAAGGGTGTGGTTTTTCCAGAATGCTCAGTTAATCTGTGCGACGCGTCAAAATCTTTTGATCACACACCCCTTCTGCCAAAATCAGTGGATTGTCAGAGCCATGCAAGTCCCGCTGTGTTGACACAGATCAGAGGGAATCAGTTCTATAATCTATAATGAAACAATAACAATGCACTTCACAGCTTTGGAGAGCTTATGAAAGAGTCGCTGTTTGCAGTAGGACGGACACAGATACTTGTACACGGTCGCCTTATGTTTGTGTTACTGCTTTAAATAGTTAAAGAATTTTAAACCAATGAGTATCAAAAAGACAGCTTTCAACATGTGAAAAACTTGTATATGACACATGCACATACGGCAGTGGTGCTTCAAACAACACCAAGAAAAGTATAAAAAATATGTACACACATGTACACATAGCTGAGGTACTTTAAGGATTTGTGAATCTCACATTACCGAGAATATGGGGCGAGTTAAATACAAAAATAATGTGTTTGTGAAGAGGGACATCTTTAACAAAATAGTTCCTAAATATAGTGTCTGAATTAAAAAAATGCTTATATAATATAAAATAAAGTTGTTATCTGACTATTTTGAATGGATTTAGAGTGGGAATACCGAGAAAATGTTGTTCATCCAGACTAGTGAAGATCTTCTCAGGCTAAGGTTGAAGAGTTCTGTTAGATGAACTTCCCCACCCAACAGGGGGAAAACGGGGGGAGCTGAAGTAGCTTTTTTCTTTGTCACATCCAGAATACGTAGATTTGCTGTACTTCCCTCCACCTGTTAAAACTGAAGAAATCTCTTGGATGAGAGGCGAAACGTCTTCGTTGAGAACATTCCACGTCCAGCTTCCTAACAGAACTCTTCAACCTTGACCATGACCTGGATGACTGAGAATCTTCACAGACATCTTCTCAGGCTGGCCTTTTTTGGTATTCGCCTAAAATCGATCAATCAAAATCAAGCCGCTCTAAAGTTGTCACACATTTGTCAATAAATTCAGTCTAGTCACACTGAAGGTCAGACTGAGGGTCAGTTTGACTGAATGTCAAAGGATTAAACAAATCCCTACACAAATCCATTTAAATTGAATATAAACAAACAAACAAAGTCCCATTGAATCCAGTTTTAATGTCCCCCGCTTACATGTCTCTAAAGGTGAGCTGAGATATGGAACACATGCCTGACGAGGGGACGCCGTGGGGAGCAAACATTGCTGACACTTCTAGGAGGTGTTAGATACAGGGAGATGAAAGGTCTGAGAACATTTTCATGCCCTCCCTGGAAGCAGTGCTAATGCATTAGCCAGAGGTGTCCTGTTGCATTATACATATAATCTTCTTCACCTGCTGCCGCTGCTGCTGCAGCAGCATTTTTTTTTTACTGTGGAGATGGAGATGACCAGCCAACGTGCCCACATGTTGGCCAGACTTCAGAGGAACACACCGAGGCCCAGGAGAGCCAGCTTACCTGAACCACAGCTGCAACCTTTGTTTGATCACGGACAATGTGTTTTGTAGACAACATGTTAAAGGGAATGTTAGTTGTTTTTTTATTGGGGAACTCTGACAAGTCACTGGATGCTTATATGTTTGAAAAGAAAATTACAGTATAACTGTTTACTGCTACATATACAAAATAATAAATCAAGTCACTGACACATTACTAGGAAATCTGGACAAATCACAAATACTACAAGGTAAATTATAGGTGTCAAAACCAAACAAAACCAAGACCATAGTAACAATGGAAAGATGCATTTACTTGAACTCACTGTTGTGTTTTCAAAGTCAAAGTCAATTATTGTCAAATATGCCATACATACAGGACATATGGCACAATGAAATTGTACCCCTCTCGGGCCGCTCTTTCCCAAAGTCAAATTGTCGTCATTACTAGTGCTCTACAGCAGTGTTTCCTAAACTTTTTTTTCTCGAGGACACATACAGTATTTTAAAAGTCACAAATCTTCACGACCCTCGCAACATTATTCATAAACTCCTGGAGAAACATAATGTGAGACGACCCAAAAGAAATTTCTTCCGACCCAATTGAGGGTCATGACCAAGTCTTTGGGAAACAATGCTCTAAAGGTATCAGGATGTGAGAATGTTGATGTAAGTTTGTTTACTTTCTCAACCCTAAAGTGTTTCTTTATAAAAATACGAAAGAAATTGTATATAAGAAATGTTCTGCCATGATGATGTATTAAGTTTTAAATAATTAGCCTTGGGGCCAATAAATCACTGACAACTGTGCAACGTTGGACTCTCGGGCCTCTCTTTCCCGAAGTCAAAATTGTCGTTATTACTAGTGCTCTACAGCAGTGTTTACTAAACTTTTTTTTCTCGAGGTCACATACAGTATTTTAAAAGTCACAAATCTTCACGACCCTCGCAACATTATTCATAAACTCCTGGGAAACATGATGTGAGACGACCCCCCCAAAAAAATCTCTTCCGACCCAACTGAGGGTCATGACCAAGTCTCTGGGAAACAATGCTCTAAAGGTATCAGGATGTGAGAATGTTGATGTAAGTTTGTTTACTTTCTCAACCCTAAAGTGTATCTTTATAAAAATATGAAAGAAATTGTATATAAGAAATGTTCTGCCATGATGATGTATTAAGTTTAATAAGTTTTAAATAATTAGCCTTGGGGGGCACTAAATCACTGACAACTGTGCAACGTTGGTAGCGTTTGAAGCCAGAATAAGCTCTGTTCAGTCAAATAAAGTCTAAATCTAGGGTTTAAAACTCCCAGCTCGGGGACCGTTACTATAAATGCATCATAGAGAAAATATTATTTTTATGGTTTAAGTATTGAGCATAGCTGGATTCTTTAAACTGTTTAACTGCCTTGTTATGTACGCCAGTTTCTGTGCCTTCACCTTTAAATGATAATGACACACTGTTGCCCCGTCCACCTCAAAGGATGGTTTCACATAGTCATGTTAGCAGTTAAGAAGAGTGAGAAAAACGGCTGGATGGATGGTAGAGAGAGAGAGAGAGAGAGAGAGATAGATAGATAGATAGATAGATAGATAGATAGATAGATAGATAAATAGATAGATAGAGATAGATAGAG